GAGACCCCAGAAGCACTACAGGCAGTGCCGTGGTGGGAATATTTCTTTGACTGCCCGCTGGCTACCTGCCACGTTCGTTTGTAGCCAATGACCAAGTACTGTGGAGGGTCCTCTTGAGCTGGTAAGTGTACAGAGAGGAAGGGATCCGTTCCTGTTCAAATGTTTAAATTGAAACCAGGTAATGGAGAATCAGTTTTCACTCTCTCGTTGCTTGTAATAAAAAAATCCATGCACACTGATAGTTTTCTCCAGTCAAGTATCCTTTTTTGTGTACCCTTTTTGTATGTCTGCTGAGCACATTGAGATGGGTACCAGTGGTTTGAAACTTGAAAACCTTCAATTTTCATGTAAATTACAGGTCAAATCTGTATAGTGCATCACTACCCTTTACAGTAAATCACATATAAAACTAAGTTATGCCCCATTTATAATGACAAAAGAATTCTTGGACTACATGGTAGCTCTTCCCAGTAGAAGCTGAATAAAAGAAGAAAAACTAATAAATAATTAAGGTGGTAATATGTTTGACCACTATTTTTTTAGTATGACTTTTTTCTGTTATTGTTGTAACAAAAATGCTCCTTTCAAAGACAACTAAAGCGCTAATGATAGCTAAGAAGGTCATTCCTAGGAGGTTAAACTGGTTTAATTAGAATTTATGAGAAGGTTACTATGAGAGTGCAGAAAGATTTTAAGGGGTTAACCTATAAGAGATTACATTGTAGTCAGTGTTCTGTTAAAGTTTGAATTAATTTTTCCCATGGGTTTTTCACATTCTAATTTTCAACTAAATGAGACATCTGTTTCAGAAAAGGAAAATTTGCTATGGTTGTCATAGCAACTATCATTCTGTAAGAAAATTATTCCAATGGTTACTTTAGAACAGAAAGATAGAAATTCAGTACATAAAGCAACATCCGATTGCTAGCACAAATTCTGATAATTGAGCCCTTTTTGTATGGTCGATTATTTGACCTGCAAAACTTGTTCATATGTTTTTAGCATAAGGTTAATTACGCTGTAAACAAATGCACTTCCCATGTATTTCCCCCCTAGAGTCTTATATATAGACAATCATTATTCTTAGGATAATAATAATACTGTTGAATTTCAGTAGTATGTGGAGACACTCAAACTGTTCACTTTAAGAAGATAAGACCTAAATCAAAGTACATTTCTACATGAGTGCTTCACTTCAGAGGAGAAATACATTCATCATGTATGTCTTTAATTGTCAAATACATTTTTCTTAGGATTTTTTTGAGAACAGTGGCTTTTTCTCTTATAGAACATACATAAATGTATTTTCTTTGTAAAATGTAAAATATTATTGAAAAATAATTTATAAAAAAATTACACTTTCCTGAGCAAGTGGTAAGTGGGGAGCCAGAAATTCAGTACATATCAAGCACTGAAGACTTTAACTTTGCTTTAAGGTTCCATTGTAAATGGAAATTTTAGACAAAGTTGTCCTTGCATGATATCCAGGTCACAGACTTGTTAGTGGGTATTAGAGAAGATTTTTTTTTTTCCCCTACTCAGAAACTTTGATGGCTGTTTTGCAATAAATTTTCAGAAGAAGGGACTTGGGGATTTATTAAATCCCTGTGTGCCTATAAAGATGATTTTGCTTTGGGGGGGTGGGGGCACTGAAGTGTATGATTTGTCTTTCTTCTCTCAGATGTAAGGCACACCAACATGCTCTGCTGAATCCTTTCTTGGACTTCAGATTTTTGTTGCCAGAAATATTCCAGACATTTCTTTCGATCTCGGGATTGTCACAAAAGACAGCATAATGGCAAATCACACAAGTTGTAACATCTCCCCTTCACAAAAGAACAGCTCCAGCATGCATAACTTACCAGCCCTGCGCTCAGGCGGCGACGCGCTGCAGTCACCACAAAGGGAGGGAGGGACGGGGGAAAGTGCTTCTTGTCTTAATAAGCAGATCATGCCTATTCATAAGGCGAAACGGGCTTTTTAAAAAGTGGCCATGTACTGGCTAGCCCTAGTAGAGGCAGGCAGAGGTTCTCACGGCTGCATATGGC